AGGTGGGAGATGCAAGAGCAGGGAGACTTTTAGTAAACCGAGATTTCTGGGGCTCAACCTGGCGCGCTTAAGACCCCCCGGTCAATGAGACTTTGTCCTACAGGAAATGGGGAGCAAGGAGGCTTCTCAGCCCGGTAGAGGTGTGAGCTGGCAAAGGATCTCAGCTAATAAGCTGAGGTGCACATTGCATCTTTTTTTGTTTCGAGACAAGGTTTCTGTGTAGCCCTGGCTGCCCTGGAACTCACTCTGTAGACCAGGCTGGCTTCAAATCAAGAGTCCCGCCAACTTCTGCCTCCCGGAGAGCTGGAATTAAAGGCCTGCGCCACCCCGGGCTCCACTGTCAGATCTTATGGGTCCCTTATTCACATAGTTTTGTGCTAATACTCAAGGAGGGCAGGAACCAACTTGAAGAGTCTTGTTTGCTTTCAGTATAACCTGTGCTCAGAATTGAACTTCCTCAAGGGACTGGAGTGACCAGGCAGGTAGCTTCAGAAAGCAGTCTTCCAGCCTCAGGGACTGCTCAATGACTCAGCACGGAGGATTTTGCAAGAGACAGACAGAACCAGCCCAGCCGGCCTTTCCTCGGGACACCTCAGGCGTGGCCCCTGCCCTGCTCTGTTGAAATTCCACTCGGTTCCAGAAGCATACTGTAGCATGTGCTCTACAAGCAGCGCTGGGGGAGTCCAAGAATTATTTAGGAATCTCCAGTGAGACTTCAGAGCACACTCGGGTTCTGCCTCTAATGGGTCATATGGCTTTCCCTTACTTAACCTCTCCCGGGGAAAGTTTCTTCATCCCTGAGATACCTGCTTTGTGATGGTAGTAAGAGTTAAGGAAACAAGGATGAAACGGCACGTAGTAGCTACCCTGAAGCATGTGCGTTTATAAACCTATTTCTATGGCAACGTATAATGCTGCTTCTACAAAGGAAAATGCTCATGGGTCTTGACTGCCCTTAACAATCACACGTCTGTTTTTCATACGTCTTTTCCTTTGGCCTCACCTTGGTATCTATTCTCCCCCATGGAAAGAACCTGGACTGAAAAACCTCCAAAGTGGGCTGAACCAGAGGGCCATGTTCGCACTTCTATGACTGTTCCCACAGGAGCACGGCCAAAGACAATGAGGGAACTTCGGTGTAAGGCAAGGGGAAGGGGGTTTGTGTATATGAACGAGTGCTTTCCAAACACTTTGCTGAGACGTTATCTGCCTTTCCGTTCCTTCTTTTTCCTTTTTCAGAAAAGGCTGTGTTCTGCCTGGTGCTCACAGAGCGGCAGGTGCACTAAGGGTTGTCGGTTGGAGGCAGTGGACCAACAGCGCACTGTGTGAAGTCGTCTGCTGCTGTTGGTCCTGTAGATGGGAGAGCCTTTCAAAGACCCCGCCTCGTCATTAACAGCCGTGTTTACTGAATGAAATTGGCCTGGTAAAGAAGCCACAGAAGCCAGTCTGTGGGTGAAAAAGGAAATGAAGTTTATTCCAAACTGCCAAGGCTGTTTCTCAGGAACGCAGAGAAAAGCTGGGGGTGGGACAAATAGCTCCAAGATTATGGATTATATGGGAATAGGTACCTGGGAGGAAGGGAACCTGTGAGCTGGGTGGGGGCTTGTGACTAGGGACTGGGGAGCCCAAAGGCACCACAGTCATATAGAAGAGCCCAGTGTCCCTTTTGGCAGAGATAGGAGAATGATTCCTTTTAGCAAGCAGGAACTTTCTTCAAGCCCTTGAGGGAATACTGGCTTCCGTCTAAATGCTGGATTTAAGCAGGCATGGTGGCATGCTCACACCTTGAATTCCAGCACTGGGGAGGCAGAGTCAGGAGGATCTCTGTGAGTTTGAGGTCAACTTGGTCTACAAAGTGAGTTCCAGGACAAAGATACACAGAGAAACCCTGTCTCAAAAAACTAAATGCTGGACCTTGGGAAAGGAATCCCTTGGGGCACCTTACATTTATAATGGTTGCCTTGTCAGGCAGGGTTGGCACCATTTTACATGTTAGCTAATAGAGCTTTCCTAAAGACCTGATCAGGTAGGCGTTACTATTCCAGTTTATATTTGGGGAAACTGAGCCACGAAGACGTTGCACATCTTGGTGAAAGCCTCATTAATTAATAGAAAAGAAAATGTCATTTAAAATGTCATCTCTGTTTTCTTTTTCTTTCTTTTTGTATTTTTTAATATTTTACTTTATTGTTTGTTGTTTTTATGTACATTGGTATGAGGGTGTCAGATCCCCTGGAACTAGAGTTACTGACAGTTATGAGCTGTCATGTGGGGGGGCTGGGAAATGAACCTGGGTCCTCTAGAAGAGCAGTTAGTGATTTAAACTTCTGAGCCATCTCTCCAGCCCCGTTTTTCTTTTTCTTTTTTTTTTTTAAACAGAGCAACTTTTAGAGGCATGTGTTGATTGTAGAAAAATTTATGGGTTTCATAAATTGTCCTCTTTAACTCACTTTTACTATTTGTTTGTGTTTGTATCTGTTTGTGCATGTGTGTGTGCTTTTGTGTGTGTGCCTGCCACAGCACTTGTGTGGGGGTCAGAGGAGAAAGCCTGAGTCAGTTGCTTCTCTCTCTCCTTCTTTCACCTAGACTTTAAGGACTGAACTCAGGTCACAGGCTTGGCCACAGTGTCTTTTCCTATTGAGCCTTCTGACGAGCACAGTTACCTTCTTTTGATAAAGGGCGTGGTCAGATAGCACTGGGGATAAGGCTGAGGTAAGTCAGCAACACTGTGTCCTTTATATGCAAGTGGGCCCCTGAGTCCTGTCTCCCAGGTGACTTCCTTGAGTTGCCTTGCTGTTGTCACTTTTCTGTCACCTTCTTCCCTCAATTCGTTTCTTTGGACAAATATTTGCAGAGCAGCAACGCTGTGGAAGAAACGGTGGCTGGGCTTGGGAGCCACCAAGACCACTCGGACAAGCTCCAGCCTTGTGACGCTCACAGCCTGGAGGGGGAAATGGAGAAATAAACAGATGAGCACATCCTGGGCTAACGAAAGGACAGAGCGAGGGCATCTCAGCCTTGTTTCCCCGACAATCTGCCTCCTGCCATTGCTGCTGGTAGCGGAAGCCAGCAGACTTGTTTAGAGGAGGGGTGAGTGCCAGGAGCTGTCTACCGAGCAAGCCAAGCCCAGGGTCTCCATTCCTTGCTCTTTTCCTCCTTCACTGGGTCTCCCTCTTGCCTCTCTCTGTTCTTTGGACTTCTCTTCTTTCTCTTTCTTTTCTCCTGGTTCTCTACGGGTTTTTACAGGGTCTTCCCCAAGCACCCATCCTCCGAGCTTCATGCCTCAGGATATCCTGACCCAGATTCGGGAAACTGACATTAGGTACAATGACGTTATTTCCTGTCTCTCCACCGCTTTAGTAGTGAGCTGGCCGTGTCTCAGGGTGCTTCCCTCTTCAAACACACTTGTCTGAGGAGGAGGCTGAGATCAGGGGAAACCCAGAGAGATCAGAGAAGGTGCCCGAGGCTAGGGAAAGCAGGCCTGTGGGCAAGGGAGTGCTGTCTGGAGCAACTCAGTGCAGATGCCCATGTCTTCCTCTGGTCAACAGTCATCCTGAAAATACTGTCTGGTGCCAGGAAACGAGTCTGAATCTCCAAGGGAAGAGTTTGATCAAAGCAGCTTTCTTGTTTCTTTCCCAGTAACCCCATTATCCTCTCCCACCCTTCCCTAAGAGACTTAAAGCGCTGTGGTTTTCAGAATCCAGTTACTTCTGGGTCTGAGAGTGATGTTATTTCATGCTCTTAATGCATGGGGAGGCAGCAGAGTCAGGTGGCTGCCTTGCTTTCTGGCTCTGCCCTTGGCTCAGAGCAAGGTCTACCTTCTGTCTTTTTTACCTCTCTCCCCCCACCCCATCCCACCCCACCCCTTTCTGCCCCCTCACAAAGCTGCCCATCAGCCGTTTCTTGGCTTCTCCCCTGGATAAAACTCTGAGTGCTACTGCTAGGTTGGGAAGATATGCTCAGTGCTCTTTGGGAACTTGCAATCCATGGAGGAAACACCTGCCAATGGGGCTTTGTGCCACTTCGAAAGCAACACTGTTCTTTTAAGAATCATGCCGCGGAGAAGGCTCAGTGGTTAACAGTCATCACAGGGAACTAGAGTTCAATTCTCAGCACCCACCTAATGGCCCACAACTGTCTGTAACTCCAGTTCCAGGGGGGCCTGATGCCCTCTTCTGGCCTCCATGGACCCTGCATTTATGCAGTACATAAACACACAAGCAGGCAAAACACTCCACACATAAACAATTTTTCAAAAAGGTTTTTTTTTTAAGTTCTAAAAAGCCGTGCCTCCTACATGGGATGACTCTTTTTCTCCTCCTTGAACTCAGAGGAGTGCAAATTGATCCTTTAAGGGTTGGGGGCAGGATTTTTGAATAGGCTGCCATGGTACTTTGCATATAATATTTGAGCCAAATTATATAAATATGGAGCATTTAGTGTTGACATTTTACCTTTTCAGTCAGGTCTAGGATAGTTCACAAAGTCATCCGCAAGATGCTTAATTGAGGCCTCTGTAACCAAGGCCAAAACACGGACCAGGAAACATCCTTCCCCTTCAAACAGAGGACCGGTCAGTTCCATCTGGGCATGCTCAGGAAAAGCCAGAGAAAGAATACATTTCACCTAAACCCTGAAAGGCAAGGTATTTGCACAGTGCATAGAGTAGGTGGGTGGGGAGACATCAGAAACAAATGGGGCTGTGGGAGGACTTGTGGGGTTGGGGTCTAGAAGCAGAACCATGGGTATTTGACTGTGAATCCTCAGGTCCGACATAAGGAAGAGAAGGCTGTCAGGGGTAGCATACTGGGGGGAGGGGAGCTAAGGAGAAGCTCATCCAGAGACCCCACCACTTGGGAGGAGTCTCTAGGGGCCTTCACTGTGTCCTCTGCCAGCTCAAGGGGATGTTTTTGGAATAAGGACCTGTGCAGAGAGATCATCAGAGAGTCTGTCACAAATGGAACTTTGTAAAAAGCTGTTCACAAACTGTCACAGCCCAAGGGCCATTCTGTATCTTCCCTTTTCAGTGGCTTAGTCTTCTCCAGGCTCCTCCCCAGAGAAAGACTACAGCTTTAGAAGAGACTTACTTGAGGGTCATTTCCCTTTTATTAAGGTACGCTTGGTCTTCATACAAACAACACACACGGGAACTACAGCCCCCTATGCAGAATAAATTATGAACAGTAGACGGCAGAAGCTGCTGTCCGGCCAGCAGGGCCCCCATGGCTAAGCACCTGGAGGCTCACGAGGTGGAAGCAGACCCTGAGAGAATGTTTTATGTTAAATGCACCCCCCCCCCAAACTCCTTCACAAAACCCACACACAGCCCAGATGCAGGATGGCAGTCAGGGCAGAGATGCCTGGTTAAACAACAATTGAAGTGGACCCGCTTGACTTCCCTGCAGCTTTAGTGGCAGGTGGGTTTCCGGATCTCACTCCTTATCAACTCCGTGACTCCCAGCAGTGGAAAGAGGGGGTGCAGAACTTGGTTGTGTCCTCCGAGACTGCAGGCTGAGCACATCTTCGAAGTTCACTCTGCCCGTGTTTAGCTCTCTCCTCAATCTCGCCAGCCACTTGCAGAAGAATGAATAGAGAGACGCGTCCCTGGGGAAAGCCATCAGCAGCGCAGGCAAACTGGCAGAGGCCAGTCACTTTCCCGGACTGTGGTGCTGGGGAGACATCGCATTTCTCCAAGCCTCGTGGTCCCTAGCTGAAGAAATGAGGGCATCCATCTATTTTAAAGGGGTGTTGTGAGGAACTACTAGAATTTGCTATTGCCAAGTCCCAAGCCGGACTCAGGCAAAATGTTCACAACCTTTTGTCTTTCTTGCCTTCTTTCCTTCCTTCCTTCCTTCCTTTTTTTTTTTTTTTTTTTTTTTTTTTTTGTATTTTTAGTTTTAGACAGGGTCTCTCTACATAGCCCTGGTTGTCTTGGAACTCACTCTGTAGACCAGGCTGGCCTCAGATTCACAGAGATCCACCTGCCTCTGCCTCCTGAGTGCTGGGATTAAACGCTACTCCTGGCCCTTCGTTTCTTCTTTCCTATTTCCCCATTTTGAGCAATAAGTCTCCCAGCACAGACTGCTGCTACGTGTTTGCGAAGAACACAGTGTCACTAGGAAGCAGCAAGAGACGGGTACTACTGAGCACACTGAGAAGACAATGGGCATATGTTAGGAAACTGTTGGGGATCATGGTAGGTGAGGTGCCACCATAGTGGCTGGACAGGAAGAAGCAGGGTAGGAAGTGCTGAACTGACTTGAACCAGAAGCTGGAACCCTGAATCAGTGATGCCTACGGCCTTCAGCAGCAAGCAAGTCACCCTTCCTACGGGTTGGACAGATAACAATGTAGGCTTATCTACCTGGCAGGTCTGATCACTGAAAGACTAATTTGGTGGGTCACAGTGGTTCTGCAGAATTTTCCCATCCATCAACACATCTTTCTGTCCAGCCAGCCAGCTAGCCATTTGGTATACATTCAGAGTTTTGTAGAATCCAGGCTGAGTTGAATGGACAGCTCTGTCTGCTCATTTAGCACCTTCAGGGTAAGGAGGTCTACAGTTCCTCACCAAAGCTCTTCACAGGAATGCTGAGGTAGTAGCGGGGTGGACAATGCCCTTCTTTTCGTAGACTGAGACGTCTTCAAAGTAAGAGTGAACACAGCAGAAACCCAGCCGAGGTTAGTCAAGGCTGGCGCCGATCTGGTCCTCGAAGACAGATCTAGCTCTCCTGCCACGATTTCCTGTTTCTAGGGGACCCAGACTGGCCTCTGGCCAGCCCTGCCTTGCTGCTTCTCACACTAGTGTGGGCTTCAAGTCATCTTTAAAGTTCACAACAGGCTTGGAGCGGGACCACAGCTTTTCCCAGGAGGCTCGTCCTGAAGCCTGCTCAAGGTCACTGTCTGAGGTGTCGCTGTCACCAGAGTCTGAAGAGCCCTGGAAGCAGAGTTCACAGTAGGGCCGGTGGCAGTGACAAAAGAATTCGTCCGAGCTGCTGGACTCACTGTCCAGGTTGTAGCACCCAGAGGACAAGGCAGGATATCCAGGGGACGCTAGGAGTCGAGACTGACGGTGCCTGGGCAGACCTGGTGAAGACGGTGGACGTGGGGCAAAAGCGGAAGGTTGGCAAGGAACGCTTACATCGCATCCTCCAGCCCCCTGAGGCTCGGGCTGGCATCGCTTGCTGTCCTCTAGGGCACTCCGTCTCTGGGGAGGATCTGTGAGTGTTGACAGTTTTACAGAAGAGGACCGTGGTACCTTGGACCTCACATTTTGGTGGTCCAGCCTGGGGCTGTCCCGGCTCTGCTCAACCAGCCCGCATTGCACACCAGAAACCGCCCTATTTGCCTGTTGCCCCATATTGAGGGCCACAGAAGCAGGGATATGGGTGCGAGCACGCTGGGCCGCCCGTCTCCTCCTCACCACATATGGGCTGAAACCCAGTTTAGACGGGGACAGCTTCTGGGGACTGCGGGAAGTGGCGCTCTTCCAAAGCTGTTGGGAACGAGGTAGTGGGGAAAGGGGAGCCTCGGGACCCATGTCCAGCTCTTGTAGGACTTCCTGAAGCTTCTCTCTGACCACTGAACTGACCCGAGGTGGCCTCTCTGGGAGTTCCTCTGAATTCTGCTTGGGCCTATGGGGGTCACACCCCACTCCATCAGGCATGAAACTCTGGCTGGGTGTCATGGGTCCCTGATCACCTCTTTCTGGACCCTCACTTTGTTCAGCCTGTGGCTTTGGGCTGCAACCTCTGTCCAAATGATCACAGAACTGTTTCAAAGTCACGTTATCCTTTTGGTCTTGGGAAGGACTATCGTCCCTTTTAGATGCCCCAGGGCTTTTCAGGTACTGGGAGGCCACCGAGGCATGCAGGGAGTCCTCGGCAGCTGCACCGACAGCATTCTCAGAGGCAGTGGGGTGTTCTGAAGGTCCCTGAACTGCCAGCCCATGGGCCGAGGCTGCATGTGGGACAGTGCACTCCGGGGAGTCGTAGGAGTACTCCGAAGACATCAGCTTTACTATCTTCGCCTTGGCATTGTTGACTTGTTCTTGCAGGCTTTCGATTACTGCGTTTTTCTGTGGAATAAAAGCAAGACCATCAACAAAAGATGCTTCTAAAGGCCTTCTGCAGTGGAAAATGTGACACTGGAGACCCTGCTTAAATCCCAGTTTTTCCAGTGCACAGGTTGGTGACCTTAAGCTTGGAGGCGGGACTTAACATTGGGTGAACTAACTAAGGCCTGCCAAGTGTTTAGCATAGTCACGGGTATGTGGTTCCCAGAAAGGCAGTATGGGCTCTCCTCCCAGCCCTGGACTGTGCACTGCTGTCTGTGAGGATGAAGGGGGCCCAGCCTCAAGTCTTGCTGGTAGCTGCAGTATCGTCTCATTTCCCTCAGCCCTAAGAGGGTCAGGTTACTCTGAGGAAACCAGACTGAAGAGGGATCGGGCTTGTTCAGCTTGGCCTTCTCAGACTTGTACAAACCACAGATGAATCTGAAGCGCGTCTCTCAGGATGACCACAGAGAAAACAAATGCTTTGCCTCTTGTGAAACAGCCCGGAGAATGGGAAGGAGAGGGAGGGAGACACCATTCATACCGGAACTACGTGAGCCAACGAGAATCTCAAGGCAGCTTCAACTCGTCCTTGGAAGTGGCAGGGTCTCCTGGAGTGATGGGCCTCAGGGACCAACTGGCTATCACTAGCTTTTAAAGAGGTGTGTGTATCAGCATCATTGTAGCTTAACAGGTAATAATAGCAAGAATGGCAAGCGGGGTTACATCAGAGTAAAAGTCTACTGAACATCACAGAGAACAACACAGCGATGACTGATAGAACCTGAGAGGTTTGTTTGTCATCAGTTCCTCTACGGAGGGCCAATGTGCGGAATATAGAAAGAACCTAAAAACTACTCAGCAATAAGGACTCAAAGAGTCCAATTTTAAAATGGGTGGACGATCTAAATAGGTACTTCTCTAAAGAAAAAAATACGAGTAGTTCAATACATATATGAAAGGATACTCAACGTATTTATCCATAAGGGGAATACAAAAATCAAATCACATGAGAAATAACCTTATCCAGTTAGGACGTCTGTAGTTAAAAACCGCTGGTGAGGGTGCGGAGAGCACAGAGCCCTTATACGATGTTGGTGGGAACGAAATTAGTAGTACAGCCACTCTGGAAATCACGACGGTGACCTAGCTCTCCCAGTCCCGAGTAGACAGAGTAGCCACAGGAAATGAAATCGCTGCCGTTAGCATCCTGCCTCCTGCCATGCCTGTGAGAGCACTGAGCGCAAAGCACAAAGGAGAGAGTCAGCCGAGGCGCCCGTCAACAGAAGAGTTAATCAAGAGAATACAACACACATCATCAGAGTGCTGTTCAACTCTGAAGAAGTATGACGCGCTGCCATTTGTAGAAAAATGGGTGGAATTTCAGGACACCATGTCAAGTGAAATAAACCAGACCCAGTCAAATGGTTCATGTTATTTTCCCCTCAGGTGTCGATGCAAAAACAATAATGACCTAAATTAGAAAATAGGCTATTAGGAACTAAGAAGGAAGTGTGTAGGGGCTGGGGGGACAAGTAAGGTGGGGGAGAAGGTGTGGATGGCCATGATCAATGCGGACTGTACGCAGGCCCAGGAATATCACAGTGAGTCCCATTAATTTCCAAATTAATCCGTGATAACTTAAGAAAGGCTTAGTACAGGAGCTGAAAGCAGATCGCTTGATTAAGTAGCTCTAGAACCCAGTGCAGAAGGCGAAGGAGGCCGGGGCAGTTCTGCTGTCCTGTGCAGATGTCAGTGAGTCAACAGGCTGTGCCCCAGAGGGCAGGCAGGTGACAGCTGCAGAAGTGTGCCTGTCCTAACTGCACGCTGTGGGGCAGGAAGTAGACACGGGTGTGAGCTGCCGCGGGGTGTCTGGGCATGCCCACACTCTTGCCGTAGTGGAGGGCAGCAGTGAACTGTCTGGTTCAGAATGTGTGTTCTCCCATGCTCAAGGCAGAGCAGCTGTGAAAAGTGTCTCATGAGGAATGGATGGGCTGAGGAAGATGAAACAGACTCTGGGGAAAATGGTCTGGCAAGCTCTGGTTTCCAGCAAGATTTGTCTGGATAATTCAGTGCTGATCTTGTGGCCGCCTCCTTTTTAGGAGCTAACGACCAGTACTGAGATACCCTTTATCATGCCTGGAATCAAAAGAATGCTCTCTCTCTCTCTCTCTCTCTCTCTCTCTCTCTCTCCCTCTCTCTCTCCCTCTCCCTCCCCCCCCCCTCTCCAGGGTTTCTCTGTGTAGCTTTGGAGCCTGTCTTGGAACTTGCTCTGTAGACCAGGCTGGCCTCGAACTCACAGAGATCTGCCTGCCTCTGCTTACCAAGTGCTGGAATTAAAAGTGTGCACCACCACTGCCCTGCCTGGACTCTGTCTTACAATAATAAAACTCTAGTCTGGGGGGATGGAAAGATGGCTTAGAGGTTAAGATTGCTGTTCCAGAGGTCCTGAGTTCAATTCCCAGCAACCACGGGGTAACTCACAACCATCTGTAATGAGATCTGGTGCCCTCTTCTGGCCTGCAGGCATACATGCCAGAACACTGTATACATAATAAATAAATACATTAAGAAAAAAAAGTTAAAACTCTAGTCTGGCCATGGACAGAACCTAGGCTTGCTTAAATAAATTACATTGAAAAGTTGACCAGAAATGATTCTTTTTGGTTTTGAGACAGGGTACCCCAGCTGGCCTAAAACTCACTATGTAGCCCAAGCTGCCCTCAGATTCATGGCAATTCTCCTGCTTTGATATCCCAAGCGTTAAAATTACAGGCATGCACACCACACCTGGTCAGAAATGACAATTTAAGGGAGGAAGGCATGGAATACAACCTTCCAATAAACCTGCAGTGGCCTGTAAGTCCCTGTCCCTGGGCAAAACCAGGAGGTGGTATTTACTGGTGCTGGCTCTCCTGTTCTTCCTTGCCATCAGAAGAGAAGCCAAGGCCAGTGAGAGACTGATGGAGCAGGCAGAAGGGACTTTCAGAGGAGTTCCCACCTGCCAGGTCTCCCTCCCCCTCTTGAAGTGATGTAGATCCGCTGGTCGGTGAGTGGAGACTCACCCAGAACAGAGTCCACGAGTGACAGGGGAATGTGTCAGGTGGCTCTAAGGACCTCACAAGGTAACCATGGTGGTAGCTGCTCAGTAGAGACTTGATGCCCTTCTTCCTCCCCCAGCGCCCATTCCTGAAACCCACCCTGCAAGTCCCCATGCCAGCCTCAGCAGGCGAAGAAGCCGTAGCTGATGAGCCCACTCTGGGGGTGAAACGGGACTTCTGTCTCCTTGTGCTTTCTCTCCAAATGGCTTTGAGTATAGGAAACTCTTATGAACACCCAGATGAGAAGAACGCCCTGCTCCCAGCTCACCAAATGTCTGAAGCTGGCCGACTACCGATTTAGAAACATCAATGTAAACAGTCAATTTTCCTTCTTCCACAAAAGGAGGCAAGACTGTGTTTTCACCGTGGCTTTGTTAATTAGGGGCGTAGTGTGAGGTCCTGCCACAAGCAGTCCGAGATCCGACCTCCTGTGGCAGCAGCTTTTACACGAATATTTAAATCATTACTTTGGTCTACAGTAACATGGAAGAGGACACGGACCCTAGGAGTCCACATCTCACGTCTCTAGTACCAGGACAAAAGAAAGGGTCGCCAGCACAAGGGACAGTCTGCCCACTGCTCTCTTGCACACTGGTGCAAGAGAAACGCGCTGTGCGAGAGGCCAAGAGAAGACCTGATTGTGGTGGTGCATGCCTGTAATTCTAGTCCTTGGGGGACTGAGGCAGGAGGATCGCAGTTTAATGGCAACCTGGGTTACACAGACACTGTCTCAAAAACAAAAGCAAACAGAAAAACACAAGACACAAATGAGAAGCTGGGCTGTCAAATCATGGCAACTGCAAGGGAGGTCTAGTGAGCTTTAGACCAAACCCTGGCTAGGCGGGTGCTGTCCTGCATAAGGAAAAGGCAGCATGGGTAGCACCCAGGATGAAGAGCCAACCATGCCCTGGCTGCCCACCTCTGGTCCCGCCAGGGCTGGCTACTGGCTCTCGGGCCTGTTCTACGGAAGACGCTCTGGCATTGCCAGCTCAACAGAAGCCGTGTTTTGCTGCTAATGTACTCGAGCCTGCAAAGGGCTCTTGCCCTGCAGACTCAAGGTTTCTTTTGGAAAGAGCACATTCAGCCACTGCGTGGGAAACAGGGTAGCATGGCAGAGGTACAATAAGCTGCTCAAAAAAATTACCATAAGGCTAAAGAATCCGTTCCAGTCCATTTGGCCGTTCTAGTGTTAGCTGATTGTAAATGAGGACCGCCCTGCTGAGTCTAGCCAAGTTTCAGGCCTTCTGTTTATCGGGGGAAAATATTTCTTTAAAAACTTTGCAGAACACCATAGGCAGGGCCACTGCCCTGCCAGGTGGAGAGACAGCTGGCTTTAAAATAATGCCCAGAGTGTTTAATAAAGAGGGAAGAAAAGCAGAGGTTTCTCTGATGGGTAAAGAAGACACGGGGGGGGGGGGGGGCAGAGAAGCAGGGCCCCGTGGGTGCTGACCATGCTTGGCCTTTCATCTGGGCACGTCTATGTCTAAGGTTTCTCCCGCACTGTACTCTCATGGGGATGTTCATGCCCAGGACACAGTCCTGCTATCAAAAACAAGTTTGGTTTCCCTAATAGCACTAACTCAGGCATGTTTTGCATATATATACATATATATATATATATATATATATATATATACACACACATATGTAATTTGATTTAATTTGTGTCAAAATACTTACTAATTCCTTCCCCTGGCCCTGGCCCTGGCCCTGTACTGCCTTCTTATGGAGCAGAGTCCTCAGGGTTTTCAAGTCCACACTATGTTTGTCTGGGAGAGGGGCCAATTCTGGTTTAAGTACAGAATAAAGAAGGGCCAGCCAGGGCACCCAGGCTGCCTTGATGCTGTGGTGACCTTCAGAGACCCGTATTCACCCCACCCCCACCTGTAGACACATCTGGGAACGCTGAGCACTGAGAAGGTTGAGCTGGCCCAGAGAGGCCCCATCATGTCGTGGCCACAACGGCATGACTGTACATAGAGAGTGCGCCCACAGATGCTATTCGCTAGAGCTCAGGGTCTTTCTAATGCTCTTCCCTCTGCGTGAGTTTGTTTGTTTGTTTGTTTGTTTGTTTGTTTTTGACTCATTCCCTGGCCAGTTGGTCCTCATCATTAGACTTCATCCAGAGACTTTTCTGACGATTCTGCTGGGTTCCTTTCCCCCCTTCCCCAGCCCATCACTCTCACTTATCAACCTGATTGCTTCTTCCCTGGTTGCCATCACAGTTTCAATTCTTTCCTTTCTTTGGTTCTGGAGCTAGAGTCCCGTAGCTCAGACTGGCCGTGGACCCCCTGTGCCAGCTGAGGATGACCTTCACCTTCTCTCTCTCCTCACTTCCTGAGGACGGAACTAGAGGCAGCTGCCACCACACCCAGGTTAGTAGGCAGGGATGAAAGCCAGGTCTTGGTGCAGGCTAGATAAGCTTTCTTCTGTCGGTTGTACCTCCTCTCCAGTCTTTGCTAGCACAGTTTATGACTAAATGTTTACTTATCAATATCCATTTGTTCCACTTGACCGCAAACTCCTCAAGGTCGGGACCCGAGTTTGTCTTGTTCATCAACAGGTAGCACAAAGACCTCAGTCTACACCTGTCTGCGGCATGGGTGAGATGGATGAGGGTCGCTGGGGTGGTGGTGGGATTTTGCTGGCTTTGGGGGAAGGTAGAAGAATAACTAGGATGGAGAATGTTGGCAGAGAGAACATGGGGCATGAGAACACGAGGGGCCATGCGGGCACACAGGGGCCATGCGGACACACAGGGGCCATGAGAATACGAGGGGCCATGCAGGCACACAGGGGCCATGCGGACACACAGGGGCCATGAGAATACGAGGGGCCATGCAGGCACACAGGGGCCATGCGGACACACAGGGGCCATGAGAATACGAGGGGCCATGCAGGCACACAGGGGCCATGCGGACACACAGGGGCCATGAGGGCATGCAGGGCCCCGAGGGCATGCAGGGCCCCGAGGGCATGTGGGACTGCTCCCACGGGTTGAAGTTCCTCACAGGGAGCCTGCTAGGCAAGATGAGGCTTACTTCTGTGAGAAGCCTCTCCATGCCGCTCTTCTCATCCCTCAGGTGGCCCTTCTGGTCCTCGTCAAACTGGCTGTGGAAGGCTTTGCTAGGGGTGCTGAAATATTTGGCCATGCGTCGGGTTGTTTGGTTTTCTCCTTCAAATGCCTTCCATTGCTTCAGCTGTTAGTCAAAAGAACACATGTTATTTATTTAATCGCACGCCCAGAAATACTTCCCTCGCTCTTGCTCGTAAATACCAAGGGACGACACTGTCACCAACACACATGTGCACGTGCTATTTACTCCTTGCAATGCCATTTGCTCCGCAGTGTTCATGGGCAGTGATGACAGAAAACACGGACGGTGTTAAGGTGTCATGCTTTAAAAATGCCCAGGAATAAGACAGACTACGACACAGAGCAGCCTCTCTGGGGTCAAAGTGTCAAAGGAAATCAGAGCAAAGATGTGTCTCGAGCAGCTTTCTAAAGCTCCTGATTGGGAGCTGACTGAACAAGAACGTGTCTATGATGCTTCTACTAGTGTGTAGTTCCTCTTGGCATTTTCAGTTGTTGAGGAACGACTTGTTCCCTCTTGCGAGCCCAGTTTATTGTTGGAGGCTTTCTACTCCAAACTAATGACCAAAGACCAAATAAAAACCCACAGGTCCCCAAAAAGAAAAACAAAAACAGAATGTCAGGCATGACACATGACCATATTTTCAACAGCGAAAGTGGGCAGGAGTGTGGCTTTTCCACGGTCGCACATCACTTTCGACAGCTGGAATCAGGACCACCACACTTTGGACTCTCATGAAACTGATGAAGAGACAGAATGCTGGTTGTCCAGAAACTGTCTTTGGGGAGCACTCAGTGGAGGCATGGGCTGGTCATCTTTCATAGTGTCAGAAGTGAGCTAGAACATTCTCAGACAGGAGTCTGCTACAGAGTTGCAGGGACACTATCTACCTAGCAAGTGCTGCTGATGTGAATGACAGGGGACCATTGCGATAGAGGCAGAGACCTCTTATCTTTGGCATCTCAGTATCCCTGCTGGAGCCATGCTGGCACTGCTGCCAAGGACTAGCTGAACATAAGCACAAGGCCATGTTAGCCATGGGTTTAGCTCCCCTAAGCTGGGGGAGCCATGGCACCATTTGACCAAAGTCCTCCAATCCCTTTTAGTTCCTTCTTTTTGAAGGTCCTGGTCCTCAAGACTTGACTCTTTGTATTTTATGGGATATCCACAATTGATGCTCAAGGATCAAAACACTTCCTCCAAAGGACCAGCAAAAAAAATTTTTTTTCTGGCCTCTGGGTGACGTGGGTGCTATAGCACATGTTCTGGCTCCTCACATCTCTTCCTTGTCTCTGAGTCCTTGCACCTGGTTAACTGTTATCTCAGACGGCCAGTGGAATTTCGTGAATATAATATTAAGGTTGGGGATGGAAGGATTATTCAGATAGGCCATTGTCATGACAAGAGTCCGTATAAGTGAGGAGGAGGAGAGTCAGAGAAGAAGGTGGGAGTAAAGAGAGAGAGGAGGGATGGCCATGAAGATGCCTCTCTGCTGGGTCAGAAAGGGGAGGGAGGACCATGAGCTAAAGAAGACAGGGGGCACCGGGCGGTGGTGGCGCACGCCTTTAATCCCAGCACTTGGGAGGCAGAGGCAGGTGGATCTCTGTGAGTTCGAGACCAGCCTGGTCTACAGAGCTAGTTCCAGGACAGGCTCCAAAGCCACGGAGAAACCCTGTCTCGAAAAACCAAAAA